ACATTTGAGAAATAATAGTCATAATTAGAGAACAATAATAAACTCCAAATCAAATGTGATTTACAAAAGAGCAACAAAATAAAGAAAAAAATATAAGATTGGTAAAATGGAAGATAAGCTACATTAAAAATAGGGAAAAGGACTTAAATATAATTATACTTTTAAGAGATAAATATATTAAAGTGTAACTCAATAATAGGCAAACTTTACATTAGCAGATAATTTCTTTTCTTTTCTTTTTTTTTTTTGTACTGGGGATTGAGCTCATGATCATGCACTTGCAAAACAGGTGCTTATGTCACTGAGCTAAATCCCCAGCACCAGTAGATAATTTCTTATAACGTCTTAACTACCAAATTTCATAAAAAGATAAATATAATAGGTGAAAGTTTAAATTAAGTTAAAAGCATAGTCAAAGACCTTCAATCGCTAATTAAATACCTGTTTAAATTCAGCACCAACATCTAAAATGGTGTAGTATTTCATTTCCTCATTACACTGCCAACAATAATCAACAGAAATAATGTGAGAGTCTACAATAATGGTTACATTAAACATGATTCAACCAGCAATAGGTGAGTTTTCTTAAAGTTGAGATTCTAGAGAAATGGTATTATCACTGAGTATAAATTTAGTATGCACTTTCTGAAGGATAATTGTAAATGTAAATCTTCTTTGTCTTAGAAAAGACCTATCACACAGAAACACATCAGTATTTATACACAAAGGATGTTAATCTCAACATTATTCATAAAAATTAAAAATATTAAATGTCTATAAATGATTAATAGTGAAATAAAGTACAATATGTTTATTTTAGGAAATACTTTCAAGATTTCAAAAAGTGTGATTTAATTTATATAAAATTTAAAAATTGAATTTGTATTAACTTATAAATTTATATGATGTTTATTTGAATTCTGGTGTTTTAAATCATGATATATTACTTCTTTTTCATTAATTCAAATAAGTCTGATGTGAGAAAAGAAAAAACTAGAGTGGATTATTAAAGCCAAAAATGGTTTCGAAAGGTACAAACGTAGCATAGTTGTTCTTTATTCAGGGTTTCAGTACAGAGCTTCTAAACTCTTGGGATTTCCTGATGGGGATGTCTGCATGCCTTTTTATTCATGACTTTATGCTAATGTAGTGAACTAGATTAGGATACCTAGATACTTTCAGGATTAGACTGGTAATTTGGAAAACCAGGTCATCAGAGTTTTACTTTCAGGCCCCAACTCATTTGCCTCCAGAAAGAGGAGACAGATGACCCTGAACGCCCTAAAGTTCTCCAGTAGTTGGATTTGATGAGCTTCCCGCTGGTGAAGACATCCAGGTACCAGGAGGCTGGCATTCTCAGGAGGCCGCAGCTGCTCTAGGCTTATAGACATCCCCACACTGCTGGAATAGCCTTGGCCTTTAGCAATTTTTGAGTTGTGTCCTTTTACAGGAAACAAATCAAGGTAAATAAACTTCCTGAATTTTTCCAGTCTCCCTGTCAAATTATCAAAACTTAAGAGAAGGTTGTAGGAAATCAAGTTACAGTAGGAGTCAGTGTGAAGTACAGATGGCCAATGACTACTAAGTGGGATTTGCAGTCGGGGCAGTCATTTGGGACTGGATCACTTCAGCTGCAGGACCTGCACCAATCCTGTTTGTGTCAGAAATGAATTGCATTGTTGAAAACTCAGTTCATGTCTGGAGAATCAGAGTACCTCAAAAAAAGATATCAGAAAGGGATTTACATTTGTTACTCTATGATTCCTGTCTGTGTATTTTCATTTATTTATTTTTAATACCAAAGTTGTATTTGATTTCTATTTATTCTTAAAGTCTTTTATTGTGTTAAGAAATATGGTGAATGTACCTTCTAATGTTTTATTGTCTTTGACGCTTTTCCTTTTAGTTGTGTTATTATCCAGTTTTTGTGTCTATTAGTGGTCCTAGTGCCTACTTTACTAGCTAAAATTAAATGAAATAAAATTCAACAGTGGTTAGTAAAACACTGCAAAAATTTTAGGAGAAATGATGAAATGAGCAGTATTCCTAAGCATGTCAAGATAGTCTCTAAGTGCTCTACAAAATAATACAAACAAACAAAAGAGACAATAAAATTGAATGTATGCTGGCTAGATGAAATGCAAAAAATTATGATTCTGAAATTATCATTAAGAATTGTAAGACCGGCGTCGCAGAGGAGACCTCAAGGACTCAGCTCTCAAGCAAGAACAAAGGGGTTTTTATTATTCCGTGTGCACAGGGTCCTCCAAACAGGTGGAAACGGAGAACCCCAAATTGGGGCAAGGCTGGTGTTTTTAAGGGGAAAAAAACCGCAAAGCAAGCAAGCGTTGTTACAGAAGCCAATCATAGCGATTAGAGCAGGGCTGATGGTGAGCTGTCCTTAAGGGATTGGGTTCCTTAGTGGGGCGAGGGAGTGTCTCCCAAGGGGTGGCATTTCTTAGGAATGGGCGTTTGTCTCATGACTGAGAGATCTGCCTTAGGTTAAGGCTGTTTGTCTTAACTGTTTAAGAACACTGGTTCCTGTGGGGGTGGAGCTGCACAACCTTAATTACCTTACTTTAGCACCACAACCGTTCTATTTGTAGAGGGCAACAATGGTTAGCATATCAATTAGGTAAGATTTTACAATTCTTTACAGAGAGCATTGATTAACATATCAATCCTTTGCCCAGAGGAAAAGGAAGACACACATTTACAGTAAGGCCAAGTTATAGGTATTACTATGTTATAAATGAAGCTATTTTTGTGAAGAATGTACAATCTGATGCAATTAACACAATTTGTGACTGGGCTACCGGATAGGGAAGACCCGGGATGTCAGGAGCTATTACCTCAGGCCTTTGTTTTATTGCCTTTAGGAAGTTAAAACTTAACCTAGTTAGATTTGAAGGGAGAAGGGCAGGGGAAGCAGCAGATGGAACGAGCTTTCTTTGTCTCTTCAGAATCATGTGGTTCAGGTTGGCCTTGAACTCACAAACGTCCTCTTGCCTCAGCCTTCTTTGTTTCTTTCTTAAGATTTTAACATCTTTTTTTCTTAGAATTTTTATTTTTTGAATATTTAAGAATTATAAATGTATATTATATGAGAACAATAAAAATAGCAATTGTGTTTAATTGACAGCAGGTGATCAAATTGTAACAACCAACTGAACTGAGTCAGAGTGGCTCTGGGTATGGATGGATCATTTGAGGACTGTTGCCAACAACATCAAAAGGGTAACTGGAGAGGAAGGGCTGTTGGTTCTCCTGGAGGAGCTTGTCAAGCTTCTTTCCTGACACGAACTTGGCTGTTATCATCATCAGAGGAGCTCAGGATCTTATTGTCTCTGGAAATGGCTGCAGTTCACTTTGGGGGAGCTCTATTTCTTACTTTGAGCATCACTTCCTGGCTTCAGCGGGGAAGATGGTATGCTGTCCAATCTCCCCGAGTAGCTTGTTGCATTGGTTTCCTGATATGAACTCGACTGTTCTCATCATCAGAGGAGCTCAGGACCTCATTGTTGCTGAGGGATGCCTGTGGTACTTTTCAGGGGAACTCTGGTCCTTACTTTGAGCATTGCTTCCTGGGTCCAGTGCAGACTCCTCAGCCCACAGGCACAGATCCTTCAACCTGCTGGCACAGACTTTCTAGTTTCCTCTACTGTCTTCTGGACCTTCCCAGGGCAGATCCATGAAACAGACTTGCATGAGATATTATTATGGGTTCTAGGTCTTCAGCTAGACTCATGTAGGATGTTGCCATGGGATCCAGTCTCTCAGCTGGATTCTTTAGGGTTTTTCATATGTGACAGATTTCCTGCACTTTTTTGTGTTTGACTCTTCAAATGATTATTATAAAATAATTTTATAAATTATGTATTCTGTATTAAATTATTTCCCCTGAAAACCCTGACTACAATAGTAACTTAACAACTAGAAAAAGTAAATTGACAAAAATTACATGACTATTCTCAAATAATTAATGGCCAAAAGTTCTAGGATAAGAAAACATATTTGCTAATCACATAATATGAAACTTTAAATCCTTTCCCATATAAACCCGCTGTGATATAAATTCACGTGGTGGAGAATTAGAAGCAAATTATTAAATATCTTGTACTTTAAGTTTTGATTATTACTGTTATTCACATAAATATTCAGTGAATATAATATTCATGCATGATAAATCTACTAGATATTCTGAACAATCACGAGCCATATCTGCCACTGAAGAACTTTAAAATACAGTATGCTTCATTTTCTAAATTTTTATGAGTCATCATTAAATATTCTTTCCTCCTTTCACACCTGGTCTTTTTCAGATTAGAGGAATTATTCATTAGTCCTAAAATTCAACACTCTATATTTAATCTACTTAAATCCACTCATTTTAATAAAATAAACAATCATTAATTCTGGAACTCCAAAGAATATGTGACTTGAAAGATAAATATGCTCTGAAGCAAAAGTAATTTTTCACAGTTTCTTTTCAGGGATAATTTATCCCTTGTATGAGTTAAGACTGGTATTTGCTTACTGTTAAAGAACATAACATTGAGTCTTACTCTTGTCATTACTTCTAACCCCTAACTTACACTTAACAACGAAAGCTATTGTAGATTGTTTTAGGCTGTTCTTTGAGATCATTGTATGAGGAAAGTTTCTGTTCAAGTTCAAAGCAAAATAAGCAGTTTAGCTCAGTGAAATGCTGACTCACAGCAATAAATGTTTATCACTATATCTTTCACTAGCAATGAATGTATGCTCCTGTTGGCGAAAAGGTCAGTGATTTCCAGGTAAACTGCTCCCTCCACTGGTTCAACAATCACTGGACTGCTATGTTCTAAATAAATATTTTGAATTCTCTAAATACTACTGAATATAGAGACCTCTGAGAACTTTAAACTATGTGTCCTCTGTAGATTACTAAAACCTTATTGCAAATGAAATGAGGCAAAGAAACCCATACTAATCCATACAAACACCTGAACTCTTTTCAGGGAGGTTCTACAAGTTGGAAAACTTTGAAAATTATCTTGAAGATCCCAAGAAATATGCTAAGATTCTAAAAGGAGAAACAAAATCACTAAACTGCTATTAATGTAAGTACTCTAAATATTAAAGTTTTCTTTCGCCGATTGCTATTAAAATGTAGAGATTGAATTGTTTAATCATAGTATGTAATCAACTAATTCTTTGCCCTTCTTTTATAAAGCACTCATTCCAAAAATAAAAGAGTATTTTCAGTTTAAAAGAATACTCATTGTAGGATGCCTGTATGCCTTTGTCTTAAGTATGACCCAGTCTTCTGTGGTTTAAAGATACTTTTCCACAAAGTTCATATATTGAAATTTTAATTTCTAAAAAAGTAGGTTGATGCTATTTGCAGATGGGGTTCCTGATTGGTGATTAGCATTAGAAGAGGCTGAGAGAGTAATTTCCTCATGATAGTAAAGGGGGACAGGGGCTAAAAAACCAGTTAAAATGTCTTACATACATGCACCAGTTCCACACAAAAAATGGAATGCCAGCATTATGTACTGCAAACATAAACACACACACACACACACACACACACACACACACACACGAAGAGAATCAAGAGATGTATGGGAGAGGAAGGGAGAGGATGAAAAGAAAAATTAGGATGATTTATGTATCTGTACGAACTCTGCACAAGGAATGGAAACATTATATGCTAACAAAGAAATGATCTGGGTGGGGGGAGGAAGAGAGAGCTACCTGAATTAGGCACATGAGCTCTCTCAGGGTGAAATCCCCCTCCTTTGTGTCACCACACAGCAGGGAGACCTACACTGCAGCCCAGGGTCTTGTAACTGGACCTCCCAGCTTTGGGGGTGGTGTTTTGTTTTAACCGTAAACAGTGACTTAAGATACAGTTCTACTTTGATTTATTCGTGAAGTGATACAAAGATAAAGCAGTTTACTAAATAGCTCCCAACGTCAGGACATATCAGATCACCTGACCCCTCTTCTGGTATTATTAGTAGTTCCTAAAATTTTGATGCCTGCATCAGAAGTATCAGCAGGGACTTGTTAGGCATGCAAATTCTTGGCTCTTACCCTAGACATCAATTCAGAAACTGGAAAGTGGGGTAGGAAGTAATCTGGTTTTAATTCTCAAAATCATGATCATGGTAACATATGCTAAAGCCAGAAAACTGTATTCTCAAAGTATAATCAAGATTTTAAAGGCAAATTATTTAGTAGAATTAATGAGAAAAATACTTTTTTGAGTATAACACTGGGAATTGACTCAAAAGAACCAGTTTTTCTCTCTTTTTTTAATTTTTATTTTTGAGAATGTTACCCATGCCAGGCTTGAATTTATGATCCTCCTGTCTCAACCTCCCAGAGTTACAGACATGTGGCATTACATGTGATTAAAATAAGTTTTGATAGTTGTTTATGTACTAAATGTAGTGAGTATAATCAACTTCTGAGTCATCCTCTGTCTTCAGGCAATCAAAGAGGATTATTCGTTCTCACCAGTGTTAACTGTATCTGTCATGATGCCCCATCTTACTTTAACCAAAAACACTTGTTCATTTTTAAACCTTACTTAACGAAAAACTCCTGTGTGAATTTTTTTTCTCACACATGTGGGTTAAAATCTTGGCATTTCTTTAGTATTACAGGCATATTTCTACAAAACAGTGCTTTTTGTTTTGTTTTGTTTTTGTACCAGGGATCAAACTTGCAACCTTGCATTTGCCAGGCAGATGCCTGTGCTGCTCAGCTACATCCCAGGCTCCTAGGAAGGAATCTTAACACTTCATTTATTCCTGCATAGCAACGGCCCGTAATTGATAGATTTCCAAACATTTCAGGCTACAAAAAAAAAAAAAAAAAGTATTTTATTCATTTTTGCATTTTGGCTCCAAAAGCAAAGCGCCTAGCCTAAGCAAGCTTTGTATATACATTTGTGAAACAAATGACCATGTGAATGAAATTTATCTAACCCCTATGTTTTGTGTTTCTGTTTGAACTTAGAGTTTCACATGTTGTAAGCATGTACTTCATCACTGGCCTGTACCATAAGAATTTAAATTCGTGAATTTAAGTTCCTATAACTTTCTGCCTTACTAGAGAATTCTAGTCAGCATCATTTAGCATTTTTCTTTGCCTTAGCAAACTCTAATAAATCAACCAAAGACTTTAAAAAATGATATTGAAGCCCTTCTATAAGCCACCAAATGACTGATATTGTTATGAAGTGTAGCCATGACATGAGAATTTTTTAAAATACCCCAGGTAATTCTAATATAAAAACAAACATGAGATAAACAAATCAAATTAGTTCATCTCCAAATCCACATCAAGAAGTATATTAAAGCTGTGTAAATGTGCCTGGTTTGGGTCTACTAAATTGTCTTATTGGTTTATCATCTTTATTGAGAAGAAGAAAACAGTATTTAAAAGGTTAGGAAATTTAATAGGAAAGACACATATTTCTATTACTGAAAACTCAAAGTAATTGCCTCAAAAATATTACCTAAGTTCTTCCCCACGCCAAAGTTGACATATAAAAATTTAGTTTCTATAAATAAATACCTAACAAGCTTCCGCCTTAGTCAACAATGGTATTTGCAATTTCCATGAAAGACGAATTACTTTGCTAGACAGTTCTTAGAGTCACATTCTGATTCTTTAGTAAAAATGACATAGGAAATACCATTGTATGGATTTCTGATAGGATTTCTAATAGAATATTCATACATTCTTACTTAGTACATTTTTGGTCATTCAAGGCTGAAGATTCAAACTGGTCTTCTCCTGTTTGTATGACATTATATTCGAGAAGGTAACAGAAAAATTAAAGGTAGACAAAAACAAAGGAAACATTTTTTAAATTTATAGACTTTGCTTAAAATATAACTTGCAGGCATAGCAGAAACACTTAATGTGGTACTTAGCGACCACGGGCAGGAACCCTTCATTTCACCGAACAGTGAAAGTCTGAAACTACTTCTCCAGTACAGACCGGCCCAGCGCTCATGCACACCCCTTGATGAGGGCAGCTCACTCATCACAACTTCCCAGGGTGTCACTGACTGCAGGCAGCTGTTTGCCATCCTGATTTCATTTACTTTGCATATATAATCATTAGTGTAATAGTGGATTGTAGCCTACTTTTAGGGTTTTTTTTGAGGATATCCATAATATTTTCCATACTGGTTGCACTAATTTAGATTGTCACCAAGAGTACATGTTCTGTTTCTCTGCACCAGCACCAGTCTTTTATTTATTTATTTATTTATTTTTCCTTATTAGACAAAACCATTCGGACTTCAGTGACATAGGGCATGAATCTGGATATCCATGTACTGGATAAATGTACTGGTAAAATTAAATTCCACCTCTCATCATACACAAAAATAAATTCAAAATGGCTCAAAATTGTAAAAGGATCTAAAATGAAACTACTAGAAAATATAGAGGAAACATTACATTTGTAAAGGCAAGGATTTGTTTTTCTTTTTTTGGTATAAGATTCCAAAAGCACAGGAAACAATCAACTACAGATAAATGGAGGCTATATGCAGCTGAAATGTAAGTAAATGACAAAGTGATGAGATAATATTCAGAACAGGAGAAAATATTTGCAAATTATTTATTTGCCAAAGGAGTAATATCCAGAGGTAAAGAAATTAAAAAAATTAAACTCTGAATTTTTTTTAAAAACACACATAACCCAATTAAAGACGGAAAACTATTTGAATGAATAGAGAACACATACAAGTGATCAACACACACATGATAGTAAAACACTGTGTCACTAACCAGGGAAATCTAGAAGAGTAAGGTTTTATATAACAGCCTTTCTAATACAGCTATACTCTATATAAATGTAGCTACACGGTATAGCTATATTAAAAAGAGATGCAGAAAGAATTACACAACTTAAAAACAAAACTGAAAGCTGGATAACTGGTTTCAAACATTCCCTATTGTGATATCAAAAGGTCAGCCATAAAAGCATGGGAAATTTTGATCTGCTTTATTCAGGTTGAAGGTTAATATTGCCTTGCTTTCTAATGAAATTTCACTAATGATGTATCTTCCCTAACTCTTGAACAAAGATACTTCAGTCCCAGGCTAGTATGGTAAGGTGGGATTCCTAAATTCAATATCATTTACTCTTTTTTTAAAAATTATATTTAGCTTATGAGAACACTCATACAGTTGAGAAAACACTCTGAGTAAAAGATATTATTATTAAAATGCTGTTTGCCTCATATACACCTCATATATTTTTAAAATGACAATGTTGATAAAACAAATCTGACAAGGAATTAAAGGTTCATATGCTGACTTTGCAATCTATTTTAGTTATTTAGATTTATATCACGACATCTGTAAAGTTCTGATCGTCATTGTCACAGTGTAGGTGGTGACTGTACCCCAAACATCCATGGCCTTTGGAACAGCACTTCTGGGAAGTTATAGGATCTGTAGGATGTGAGGAATGCGGGAAGCCATCGAAGGACTGTGCAATTCTAGACTCTTGTTTCTGTTTTGACTTCTGACTTTCACTGTGATGTACTCTTTCCTCACAGATTCAGAATTGTGGTTCTGCCTAACTGTGGACTGGATTCATTAACACCAAGCTAGAATAAGCCATTTTTGTTTTAATTATTGCAGATATTTTGTGCTGGTGGAAAACTAAGAGTCTGCTTAAAAAATGAATCATGTTAAATTTTCACATCTTTTCTGTTAATTGAAGATCACTGCTATGAGAAATGGTTTACAATTTTCTACTGTAGTGTTCATAGTTCTGAAATATACATTTCAAAGATAAATCAATGTTGTATTTTTATGTATGACTAAAAACTTCCATGTTATACGTATTTATGATATTTCAAACATTACACATGCAACTAAGCTAAATAAAAATTTTAAAAAGAAATCAGAATAAACATTATACATGCCTAGGTTTCTCCGAGTAAAAATTTCAAAAATAACATTTTGGAGACACAGAGATTTACAGATTTCCTATGTTTATCTAGAACATAAGAAGTTAAAAATAATAAGGCTTTATTTTTAATATTACTTGAGCACACAAGCATTCTGTAATAGAGATCACAAGTAAGAAAAACTTGCTACCAATACATTGATATCTTGGGTATATAAAACACTTGTAAATGCACAATATATAATTTATTTTTCTTTAAAAGAGTACAATACTAATGTCTTATAATTCACCCATTTATTTGATTTTAATTTGAATTTATAAGAACACAAAAAACCTTAAAACCTTACTTTCTGTTTGGTGAAATTATAACTCATTGCATTTGTTTAAAATTTTCTAATTTTTACTGTTTTGCTCTGGTTCACTTTCAAACTTCAAACATTTCCTCTTTTCACCTAGAATTTAGAACTCTGATGGACGTCATAATGCATTGCTCCGTATTCCTTCAGGAAGAAGTTACTAACTCCCCAGTTAGTAAGCAAGCTATTCTTTGCTATTAGTCATTTGCAGTTACTTTCTTCTAGGGGCAGCAAGAGACCAAAGACTCTTCACTCACATGAGGACATGACAACAGATCCCTCTTCCCAAGTCAAGGGAAATGTGAAAAGTTACTGAGTTACCCAGTTTAACTTCTCCTGCAGCCCTCCCTCTGGAGTTGTTCATTCTTAGAGTATTCAATTTATTTTTAACACACTAATTTTATTTAAAAATCTACCTCTTGGGAAAGAGAATGTGTGACATTACAGTACATTTGACTCATGTAAAATGATTTTTTTCTAGAAAATATCTTAACTTTGTTAACATTAAGGCCCTTTAATTTTCTTGCTCCTGACTCTAGGATTAGCCACTAAGTCTCTGAATTACTCAATACCAAGGGCCCATGCCAGAGTTCCAAAGTAATCACACTGAAATCATTCTCCTTAGGTGTTACGGTTTTAAGGTACTATAGTGTTGTTAGACTTAATGCTGATTTTTAGGGATTGTTAAACCTGTGTGATGAGGTTGAACTTGTGGAATGTTAAGAATAAGCATAAGTTTGTATCTGGAATGTGTATGGTTACCACATTGTGAGTGGTGCACTGCAACGGTTGATAAATTGTGTCAACTTGTGAAGTTTATGAATTTAACTAAGCCACTCATCAGGGAGCCATGGTCCTGACTTTATAAACATCCCTATTCTGTACAAGAGGAAAACAAGGAGGTGGTGTGAGTGCTACACACACCTCCAGGTGAAGGCAGCCTGCTTACAATAGGAGGGAAGAACAGAGGCTGGCTCTTCCCCTGTGGCCCTTGCTGCTTTTGCTGTACTTTATCACTCAGAAGTGTTGTCACTGTGCCATGTCATACTGCCTTGGAGTCAGTTGATTACAGACCGAAACCTCCACAAGCTGTGAGCTAAACAAACCTTTCTTTCCTTAATTTTGGGTGTTCAGGTATTTTGTTTTACAACGAGAGAAAAGTAACCACAGCATTAGGCTTGAGGTTAAGGCAGATATTCCCAGTCTAAAAGAATTAAGACAACGAGATTCATAGCACAACACTTTCCAAAGTAATCACCTTTAAAAACTTGCTTATTTCATCCTTTTCCTTTTTTTGTTTAATGAGTCAGTCACAAGATTGTTGGGTATGATATTCTCACAACTCAGTTTGAAATGCAACTATTTTCTTTATTGTTCAAGAAGCAAGAAACGAAGATGAGTTCAATGAAACATCTAGGTATATGTATAAGATCTGAGGCCTTTATGTGGACTGACCTTAATTAAAATATTGTGAGACTATAACAAAAAATAAAAAAAAAATCTTCCTAATGCAGACAATTATTTTAAACTATTGCTACTAAGACTGATGCAATTTAACCTTTTTAAAACTATTAAGCATGATCTCTCACTGTCTGAATGTTGGCTGCATACAAATTTTTCACACCACTTATTTGATTTTACACAAACAATAACTACTAATAACTCAATATTGGTTACGTACTTCTCCCAAAAAGGTTTGATTTGTTCCTAATTTCTCTAATGTTAGCTGAGAAAATTTCATAAAACATTGCTAATTCAAAAGCATTATTTATTCTACAACAAGTTTCAGAAAGACAATCAGTATCTCTTCCTATTAAATATCAACTCTGTGAAATTATCATAATAGATCATTATGAGGAATCGAATGTACAATCTATTATATTATATGTGTATAATAAAATAGATAATATTTAAAATATTTTAGTTTATGCTGAGCAACTTCCTAGCAATTAGAATTAAGCCTGGTCTTTGATTTCAAGTACAAATTTTATGACATACTTGCTTGTCTCTCTGACTTTTCTTTAATATATGACCTAAATAAATAAATAATATTTGTTTGTTTTATTGACTTTTGATTTTTAAACAACTGAAAGAAAACATTGCTATAAATTTCCTATTTTATTTAAGCAACTGTACATTATACCACAGGTGTCTGAATCTAACCTAGTATTCCAAGGTGAAACATTGAAGATCAACCCTATTGCTTGCAAGACGAGATTTTTTTTATTAAGAAGAGAATTTAAAATAAAAATTCCTAAGGCTCTACTTTGGTATTACTTTAAAGTTACTTTTCTGTATAATGTGTGTCAAAAAGAATGATAAGATTACAATACAAATTAAATTTATGTGTAATATTATTAGTGAGATCAGCTATAAAAATTACTGCTGACTTTCTAACACAAAGACGATTATTTTCTGAGCCACTACCAGGAAAACAGACTTTATTCCCTTTATGAATTATAATAATGGATTTGCAGCAATGATCCACAGGGTCTTTCCTGCAAGGATAGAAAGGTCAGGGTCAATATCTGCATCTAATAAAGGAAGAGAAAGCTGGCGGGATGAAATATCCACCACTGACCTAACTAGCATGTTTCACTAAAATGAACCCCGAACCTCAGAAATTATGGTCGCATTTTATTATGAGTGGCAGTAGTAATATGATTTTGGTTTTTAGTGTACATGAAGATACAATAATTATATCATTGTATTGCTAAGAATGTGCATTTATTTACTAAGTTTTTTAATATTATACTAAGCTTAATGAGAAAAATGTCTGGTTCCTGTTCTCTGCAAGCTCTTATATGAAGTATTACATGCAACCAAAGAATTTCAAATGACACTTAAGCAACAATATTTCTTTTCAAAAGTATTTTGTGAACTTCAAGCCTGTTAATCTATTTGCTTTGGCTACAGCAGAAGAAAGTGGCAAAATTAATATAGTGAGTACCGAAGCTCCTCCATAAAAATTTTTACAATAGACTGTTCCATAGCGTTATGACTTCCCTGGGTTAAAATTTATTCACTTGCAGAATTACTTCATATATTACAAATTTTGTTCACATATGATCTCCGTTGTAAAATGATTCGCAAATTCTCTAAGAACAATTAATCTCTTTGCTCCCAAAACACCAGAGTGTACCATAGTGGAAAAGGAAAAAGCAGAGACTTTGTTATTGGACTGCTCCTGTTGATTCCAATCTCTGCTATTTTACTTGTTACGCAGCCTCAGACAAAACATTTATCTGTATGCACCTCTGCTATTCTTAAAGCAGAACTAACATCAATTTCACAATACTGACTGGACAAAACATAAATGTGCACAGTACCTGATATATTACAAATACTCAAAATGTCAATATTTATTTGTGAAATACATAAAAAATAACAGTAGCTTGGTAATATTATTTTATATAATAATTACTAGTACTATATAAGTCTCTTTCTTCTCTACAGGACTGTGATTAAATTAAAGACCAGAACTTGAACTTTCTTACTTAGTTTATTTCCTTGACTCAGACAGGTTTTTACAAGTAGGTCTTCAGTGAATGTTTGTGAAACTAATGATCCAATAATTAAATAACACAAAAAGAATATATGAAAAAAGGGTGGTTACTGAATATGATGAGAAAGACTGAATTAGTGTTACTCCCTAGTGAGAAATCAAGCAGCACAAGGAGATAATATTTCCTTTTGTGAGATGATAGTTATTAGACTATTTCCTCTGTTAACTATTTTGGTGACTATGTCTAGGTTTTGTGGCCAGTACCATGTTGGTTAAATTACTGTGCAATAGCAGTATAACTTGAAATCAAGTAGGATAATATGTGTAGCTTTCTTTTTTGCTTTTTTATGATTGTTCTGGCCCTCAAGCTATTTTGTGGCTCACATAAATTTTAAATTTCCTTTTTCTATTTCTATAAAAATTGACGTGAAATTTTCACAATTTGTAAATTACCTAAGGAAGTGTAGACATTTTAAACAATATTATGTTTTTAATCATGTGCCTGAAATGTTATCTTCAATGTCTTTCATCAAGGTTTATAGTTTTCAATGTGCAAGTCTTTTATTTTCTTGCTTGAGTTTATTCCTAAGAGTATTTTGGTGACTATTGCAAATATTCTTTTGATTTCTTTTTCAGATATCTTGCTGTTAATGTATGGAAATGCCACCAATTTTTGTATGTTGATTACACTAAAAGTTTACTTTGATCATCTATGAGAAAGTGATGGTCTTCACAAAATAGTGTTGGAAAAGTGAATATTCACATTTAGAAGAATGAAATTGGATTTTTTTTCTCAAACCATATGCTACAATAAATTCAAAATGGATTAAAGATGCTCCTCGTAAGGACAGAAGCAGCAAAATGTTAACAAAGAACAAAGAGCAGAAATACTACATAACATCAGGATGGATAATGAGTTTTTAGATTTGACTCCAACACAAACAAAACTAAACTAAACTAAACTAAAGGGGATTACATTAAATTAAAAGGGTTCTACATAGCAATGGAATTAATTACTACTATAACAAACTACAGTTAAGCAGAAAATGTTTGCACACTGTACATCCAATCAAAGGTTTTATTCAAGCTCTATGATGTGGCTCTACTGGGCATCATGGCCCATGCCTGCAATTGTAAAACCTGGGAGGCTGAGGCAGGAGGACTGCTGAGAGTTCAAGGGCGGTCAGGGCTTCAAAAACCAAAATCAAACAAGCAAAAAGATAAAGTGGCTCAAACAAATCAATAGCAAGAAAAAATATTAGATTAAAAAATGGACAAAGTAGGACTGGGGATTTAACTCAGTGGCATAGTGCTTGCATGGCAAGCATGAGCTTGATCCCTGGTTTAAAAATAAAAATAGCAAGCAAAGACCTTACACAGCTATTACTAATATTCAAAAGCTACACAAACACCGCATAACATACTTAATAATTAATGAAATGTAAATAAAAACAAATGTAGATGTCATCTCATGCCTATTAGAATGAGTGTAATCAAAAATGTAAAAAACACTTTGGAAAGGATATGGAAAGGAGTGTATATTGTTGATGCAAATATGTATATTACTAGTCATTATGGAAATACACACGGCATTTCCTCAAAAACATGACAGAAGAATTATCATATACTACATCAATCCTACTTCGAGGGATTACCTTCAAAAGATTAGAAAATAGAAATTAGAAATATTTGAGCAGATATCAGAACTTTCATGTTCATCGCATCACTATTCACAATAGCCACATTATGGAATCACCCTTACCTACACGCATAGATAAATAGATAAAGGAAGTGTGAGATATACACATATACATATATGTAATTGAATGCCTTAAAAAAAAGAAAACCTTAGGAAAGAAAATTTTGTCCTTTGCAACAAATGGATGGAATTGGTGATCAATGGTGATCATGGATGGAATTAGTGCATGAGGTCAGGTATGAAAAGACAAATATTGCAAGATCTCACTTATCTGCAGAAGCTCAAACAAGCACTAGAAACAGAGGCGAACGGTGATTACGAATGCCAGGGTTTGGGGAAATGTGATGGAAGGAAAGTGTTCACAGGGTGTAAAGTCTCAGTTATATAGACTGAGCATTGATTTTGTTTTGTTTTGATTCAGATCTACTGCACAGTGTGGTGAATATAGTTTAAGAAAGAGTACTGTAGGGCTTGGGATTTAGCTCAGCGGCATAAGCGCCTGCCTTGCAAGCAGGCAGTCGTGAGTTTGATCCCTGGTACCGATAAAAAGGAAAAAGACAAAAAAAAAGAAAGAGTACTGTGCATTTCACGCTTGCTGAGAGCACATTTTAAATGCTCTCACCATAAAAAAATGTGTTTAGTATTTGTAGTGATGGAGATGTTCAGGAATTCAATTTAATTATTGCACATTGTACTCTGCATTCACAAAGCATAGCTTCATTTTGTGGTCCATAATATTCAAAATTATAAATTTCCAATTTACAATAAAAAATAAAATATACCATGTCTTGCTACCTGGCTTTCTCTGTCTAGAGATTCAAGTCCTAACTTCATATAAAGAAGCAAGCAGCCTTTTTGGAAAGGTTAGAGGCCAAAGGGAGACCCTAGGTACACTCCAGAAGAAGCTGATACACTCAGTCCTTTAATGGCAAAGAAATGAGAGTGCAGAAATATTCCGGAGGCTACCAGACAAACCACTGATGCTTGCCAGAAACACTCACCGAGATGCAAGCAAGGTAGTGCTGTACTTCTTACTCTTATTTCTTCTCACTCACATGACAAGGACTCCATGTCCTCTTGAAAACCACTAGCCCTTATCTAAGAAGTTCTGAGTATGTTTCATCTGTTTACAGGGCATTATAAATTTATGACTCTGAGGCAACCTGTCATTTACTTCATTTTCTCCCTCTGAAAAAAGGGGAAGAGTAATACTCCTGACATGGTAGAACTGCGGTGGGTGTTCAATGAGTTCATCTGTTCAAAGGTCCTTAGTATTCAGTAAGCAGCTGGCACACAATAATCTTTCAAATATTTCTTATATCAGACTTCGCAAATATTCATTCATGTATAAGGAAAGGACACTGTCTTATTTCCACCTCTGAAACTAGAAAGTTTGTCCTGAATCGTATGACTACACTGAATTAGAAAACTATACTCAGAAGTTGTGATTTGCCTCAGCCCCTGACTTACTGAGGGTCTTTAATAAGGTCACATAGTCTTTTGGGCTTGGATTTCTTCATTGAGGAAATGAATGTTGTAACTAGAATGGTCTGTACAGTTCCTTTTCACACCAAGTGTTTATAACACAATAGACTGGTAAGGGCAAGTGATACAGAAAAACTGTCAATCCTGCCTAAGTAAGGGGATGACCATTCAAGAGAGCTATGGTCAGTAAATTAGTGCATAGAAATGAGAATCCATGGCAGTAAGAAAAAGAAAGAAATCAAAATGCAAAGATAACTTGACTGTAAACAATAAGTAATAAAGAGTTACCAGATGGGACAGCAAGTCAAGATAAAAAAAAGTACGGAGTAAAGATACATACCTGTTTGAACACAGAATGATGAACTCAATAAACAGAGATCAAAATATGCAACTTTCATATGTTAATTTTATAACTTTAGTCTGATTCTTGTTTTCTATCATTTTTCATCAATTAATTTCATCATCCCCAGTAGTCACTCTTTTGAAAATTTATCACTTTGTTTTATCCTTTCAAGAAATCTGACCAACAAATTTTTAATTTTGTTACCTTTTTAGGAAAGTTAATTTTAAGCCCATAGATGGAATTTAAGTGCTATTTCTTTTTGTTCCATAGATATTTTTTGTCAAACAAAAAGAAATCCATCTGCAGTCTTCCAGCTAGTTTTCTATGCTGCTCTGAACTTTAAACATAATGGCACACTTGCCCATGTTAGCTGAACTAAGGATGCTGTAATTACTGAGGCATAAGATGAGAAAAGAAACTAAGGAATGAGTCAAAGGAAAGAAAATAGAGGCAAAATTGTAAAATGTTGGCACATGTTCACACTGTGCTCCAGTTGAAAGATATCAGCATATTAAGAAAAAAGAAAAAAAAAAGATTAGTAATATTTATGAAATCCAATGATTTGCCATTGTAAGTAGGTATAGAATCTCTAAAAAACACAAATACTTGCTGTAGAGTAATATGTTTAAGACAACTCAAAACCATAAAAGACTATGTTTCAAACACATTAAAGTATATTTTTCTGAATAACAGTATCATGTATACTGTTTGACCACAATAATATTGCAATTATTAAAATTCATGTCTGAACTTTCAAATTAAAATTACTTTCATTTATTATCACAAGTAAAGAGGCAGATAATAAACAGAAAAATAGAATAACACAGTCACCACTGTGTGAGACACTTCCTTAAGTAATTTAATAAATCATTTAATCCTTACAATATATCTACAAAGTAAAATTCAAAGTAATTTTCAGACACTGTAACTAAGACAAAGAAAGATCAAGCCTCTTTCTAAAGTCACAAAGTACGAACATGGTACAAATTTATACCTAAGTATGTCACTTTATAAAAAATTATGTTTCGAAAGATAACCAGAGAAAACAATCACTGTTCATAAGCAATTTGTTGTTATTTTAAAAGACAATTTTTAAAAACATAAAAGTAAATATTTCAGGGTATTATGCTTTTTAATCCCAATATGTTGACCCCATTGCATTAAAAATGTCTAGCAGATTAGTGGAGCAACACTCCTGCCTGTGTCTGCGACTTCTTGGAGGCAGAACCCTGGACACCATGGTGTGGGCCCTGGCCCATTCTTCCCTGGCATTACTGCCCTCTCTGCTTCCCAACTACAAATAGTTAAGTAGCTCTGTGTCACACGTCCATGCTGTTTCTGCCTTGGGGACCCCTGGGGGGTTTACTCAGGCCCCCATTCAGACATAAGCCAAGCTAAACCTCTCTTCCTTTAAGTTACCGTGTCAGGTGTTGAGTCTAGCAACAAGAAAGCAGGTGAATACAGATGCAATTACCAATGTGATTTTAAAAAAACGTAGGAAAGTTGAAAAACCGGCTAAGAAAATTTAAAACCACAGATGCTAAAGAAAAATCATATTATTTTTAGTCAAAGCTCTTTTGATTCATTTATATCTATTGCCAGGATCTGATGCAATAAAGAAATAGCTCCCTAATTACATCAGATTCACCAGGAAAGCCTGATAAGAGGTGGCTGGACTTCTCAAGAGTTCAGATTTAGGGTGTTCAGAGATGGGGCCTGCAGATTTGCAATGCAGATCAGTTCTTGGTTGACACTGATGCTGAAGTCCAGGGAGCCTGCTTTGAGAAGCACTCTATAAGTAACTTAACCGTGATGTCCAGTAAATGGAGGGTACTTGAAAACTCTACAAAATCACTTAAAGTAGTAGTAACTGCAAAACAAAACATTCAAATGACAAATTCAAAAAGAAGAAAAATACACTGAATTTTAACAAAATTAATGAAAAGCACTGAAACCTACTATTTAAATCCATTCAGTTCAGTGTTTCTCAGGAAGCTATTGTTGTAATTCATTTTTAAACTCATAATACCAGGTAGAATAAAAGATGTGGCCTAGAGTTCAGCAATTTCATTCAATAGGATTTCCTTATAGACAGTAGGCTCGGACACTCAGAAGGAATGGTGCTCACTGATTACAGGCTTGAGGGGAAATCCTTAACATGAGAAAATAGAAATCATTCATCAATGGAGCTCCACTGTCACTCACCAAAGTGGTGTAGGAGTGAGCCTTTATGTACAAAATTAGATCACACTGCCTGAAATATCTTCATTTAATCATGTAAACTGCAAAATTCCTGGTTTAGTTCATGCCTATTCAAGACAAGCATTGGAAGGAAAAAGGAGAAACAGGAGAAGGAGGAGGGAGAGGAGCAAGACAGGGAGAAGAGAAAGAGAAGGAGTTGAAGTAGTTTAGTAGCATTCTCAACAACATGCTACCCAACTTTAGTGGCTCCCGCTGAGGGAATTTGTTTCTGGACAAAACATGATTTTCACCCGGATTCCCTCTGCTCCACAGCTCAGCCCTTCATTTTAAACTGGTCCATGTGTGAGGTAGTTCATGGCCACTCCTTAACAATCTGATTGTTTTCCTAGAGTTTTCTCTAAATATTTCAGGGATATGAAAAACAAAGAAAATGATACAACAAAATCTCATTTTTGCTTCAGGCTAACTTTGATATGTAGAACAAAACGAGCAGTTTTTGGCACAATTAAGGCAACTAAATCTTCGAGGTTTTTCTCCAAAGCCTGCTCTCTCCCAGAAAATGGAGGAGTTCTATGCCTGAGAACTTCACTGTGGGGTCACAGAAACGATTTCTTTATGCATTGTGTGTGTAGTTTCTTTACTTTTTTTCAAACAAGAGACTGAAGAAATAGAGCAGGCTAGAGTGCCAGCTCATTTAGTAAATAAAGGTGAAGTGTTTGAAGTGTTTTTAATGTACATCATCTTCTCCTATATATACATTTTATACACTGAAGGCTCAGTGCTAAATCACTTAGTTCATATTTTATCAGTGATAAGTTCTTGAGTTCAGAAACATAGTAAACGATTACATGAGTGTGAACAAGCAAACAACAGCAATCATTTTAAAATGCTACCCCAAGACCAGACACTGGCATATCAACTCTAAAGTAACCCCGGGAAGATAGATCAAAGCACAGGATTGCTGCAGTGTTACAGCAAAAGTCTGGTTTTCAGAACCTGCTTTTACCACTACGTGAAATAAAAGCCCAGAAAAAATCTCAAGGACTTTTAAATGTCACATGCAAAATTGTCTTCCATATCCACTTCTGAGAGTAAACGTTATGAACAACTTTTCATTTAGAACAATAATATAGTCAGGGGCTAAAGTTATGTCATTTTTATTCCTGAAATTATAAAGGAAACATCTTTAGTAATTTCCTGCTTAGTTTTTTTTTTTTAAAGAAAGAATGCTTTTGCCTTTAAAGTGTGATTCAGCCTGCTCTCTAAAAAATAATTAGAAATACATAGATAAATAATTTAATGATATAAGCATATGGAGATTTTAAAGGTAGCCATCTGTCTTCAAATATTTCTCAATTAGATTTAAAACTCTTTAGGCACCAACAGAAACACGACTCAAAAGCAAAATTGACATTTTAGTTCCTTAGCATTTGGGGGGAAACATTTAATAATGGAAAAGACATTCATCACAACCACAAATTTTTTCCCTTTAAACATGACCTGTACATGTAATAAGAGAAATGAAAATGTTTTTAGATCGATAATAAAAAAACAATAATTTTACTATTTCATAACCAATTTTGTAATTTGACACTTAGGTTTTTGTCTAATTTATAACAGTTTAAGTCCTCTTTTCTAATCAAGTGGCTCTTGACTCAGCACTGCTAGATACGGGCCACTCAAGGCACTGCTGCGTCTAAACAGAACACTCTTGCTATGTATCTCTGAAACAAACACACTTTCCCTCCTTCTGGATCG